CTGGGGCTGGAATTTGAACCATGGTCAACTATGTGGGAGTCCAGCGATGTAACCATTATGCCATCTGCTGGTCCCTTCTTTAATGTTTTTTTTTTTTTTGAGAGTTTTTTGCTATAGGGCGTGTACGCTCACCAGACAGACAGAGAGAGACAGAGAGACAGAAAGCAGGAAATCACCCAGAGAGATAGAGAGATAGAAAGCAAGAAATCACCCCCTTGGGGGATGGCCACGTTGCAATCCCTTCTCCTCCATTCTCCTCTCGAGATCTTGGGTATGCACACACATGCGTCTGGTGTGAATTTAAGCCACCGGGTGAAGGACTTGAACCACGGTCTACTACATGGGAGTCCATTGACATAGCCATTATGCCAACTGCTGGTCCTGTATATTTTTAATAGTTGCTCTAAAGTTCCTTATCTACTAATTTCAGTATCTCTGTCATTCAGGTGTTCTATTGACTTTTTCTCTTAATTATGTGTCATGTTTCCTTGCTTCTTCACTTGTCTCCCTTGTTATATGGCAGTCATGGATATTGGACTGATTATTAGCATTCCCTTTCTTTAATCATTTATTTATTTATTTTTACATTTTCCCACAAACATTTACTTTACATTTCAAAAAAACTTTTGCTCTTACTCCATAGTTCTTGACAGTTAATAAACAACTTTCAAAATTTCGAAAAACTGAATTTTAAAGATAATGTTCAAAATATTTGTTATAATTTTGTGATTCTGTAACAACAGAAACAGTATGATTTTAAATATTTTTGAGAAAATATTTACCTGTCATCTACTCAAACTGTTGAAAAGCAAACACCCAGCACACAAGTTACACATAAACCTTCTCAATTCAGCCCTGCCTACCAAGTATTCTGTGATATACCATCTGCTAGCACAGATCAGTCTCTTTTTCTTCTTTCAAAGTCTTCCTCAAGATAATTTTCTGGTTGTGGTTGCTCTTTTGCAATCTCTACTGATTACAATGCTGGGCTGGAAAATTCCAGGTTATTTTATGGTATGAATTCTTTCATATTGCTTCTCTAATCCTCTCTGCCAGGCAGAAATGTTTATGGTGCCTGGCCATCTTTCCGGGAGCTTCTGTTGGCTTACTTGAGATCTACCTTAGTTCCACAGTTTTCTGTTTAATCTTCAGATATGACATTCCAATCAAAGCCCTGTCCAATAATGAGTATTTCCATTTTCTGATTCAAGGCAACAGGTATTATTGAACTTATGCAAATAACCCTTCTGCCACAAAATAAGAATACTCCCAAATATTTTTCAACTCCAGAGGGGTCAGGAAGGGAGAAAAGTTTATATTTCCATTTAAACAAACAAGAAGAAAAAAATATTTTAACAAATTGCTGAACCTATCAACAGCTCAAAAGAAAGCAAAATCCTTAAATTGGGAAAACAAAGCATAGTAAAAAAAAAATCTGTAATGTTTTATTCAGAAGTCATAAAATTGTATTTCACCATTTCAGTCTTATGTTCAATTTCTCTTCTGCTGAATTTGCAGTGTTACTGTGGTTCAATCTTTCTGTTTAAATCCTGGAAGTTAACATTCAATGTTATTATTGATATTTCTTGTCCCTAGCAGTAAGTTGGTCATTTACTTAGTTGCTTTTTCTCTTATTTCTGTATGTGTGTCTTTAGTTTTCCTGATAGAGCACTCCTTTCAGAACGTCTCAAAGAGTGTCTCACATTGGCAAATTCTTTCAGGTCTTGTTTATCTGAGAATGTTTTTATCCTTTCTTTCCATATGAAGGATAATCTTGCTAGGTATAGTATTCTTGATCGAAACTGTTTTTCCCTTAACACTTTGAACATATTTTCTCATTCTTTCCTTGCTTGCATTGTATCTGATGAGAGAGGTCCTGATGTCAGCCAGATGGGATAACCTTTATAAGTAACCTGACGTTTCTCTCTTGCCAATTTTAGTATCTTGTCTTTGTAGATTTGGCCAGTCTGGCTATGATGTGCCCTGGAGAAGATCTTCTTGAGTTGACTCTATTAGGAGTCCTTTGTATTTCTTGGGTCTGGATATATGAATGCCTCTCTAGATTAGGAAAGTTTTCTTCCAGGATTTCATGGACTAGATTATCAATGCCCTTACTAGTTTCTTCACCTTCTGGGATACTGATTATCTGGATGTTTGGGCACTTAATGGTATCTAGTATTTCTCAAATAGTATTCTCATTTTGGGGGGTTATTTTCTCAGTTTTTTGGTTGGTTTTCCTAGGTCAGAAGTTTTGCCTTCAATATCCGAGATTCAATCTTCTTCATGGACTAATCTACTTTTAACACTTTTGAGGGAAGTTTTGAGTTCCCGAATTGCAGCCATCATCTGTAATATCTTCATTTAATTATTTTTTATGGTGTGTGTTTCCTCTTTCAGAGTTTAAAAGATGGAGTTTAGACCATAGCTTCCCTGAACAGGCCAGGACACACCTCAGATTTAAAATGGCTTCTTGTCTGAGTATTTCGGGAGTCTAGAAGATGGAGTTTAGAGCATAGCTTCCCTCGATTATTATCATTCCTGAAATGGTATGCTCATTCCTATATCAAGCAGCTAGGATGGGAAGCTTATCACTTCCACCTAATCAGAAGTTACCTGGGTCTGAGATGTGTTACTATTTTTGTTATTTTGTTTTACTTTGGTTTGCTGGGATTTGAGTACAAGGTGAGATATGCCCTACGAGTATTCTATTTCCTATGTTCCAGCAGGAAGTTTAGGTCTAGGAAACATGAAATAATAATCGCTCTGCTTTCCACCTCAGGTCCCATCTTCTTATGCTTTGTATTCTTAGTAAATCCCATGAGAGAAAATCAGCAGGTGGGGATAATGCTTGTGTTTTGGATATCTACAGATTTCAGTCTGTTTTATCAGCCCACATGCTTCTTACAAGCCCCATTGGTTTTTCCTTATATCAGCAAAGTTTATCTGTGTATGAAAAATCCAGTCCTTTACTTGTCTATGCCCTCAGACAAGATAGATGTCCCTAGGGAGAAGAGTGGCCATTGGTGTCTACTCATCTACCCATTGTTCCTCTCTGTAATGTTCATATATATATATCATTGTATCCATAGGTCTCTGGTATCTTATTAATCTATACTTTTTGTCTTATTTGTTTTCTTGTTATGTTGGCAGCCATTATCTTTGCTGGCCTGTATCTTAACCAGTAGCAGAACTACCAGACTTTTGAAATTAAATTAGAAATTGAGGTGATTCAAAGTTGTGCTTTCAGTACCTGTATAATGTTCATATAGATATATCATTGTATCCATAGGTCTCTGGTATCTTATTAATCTATACTTTTTGTCTTATTTGTTTTATTGTTATGTTGGCAGCCATTATCTTTGCTGGCCTGTATCTTAACCAGTAGCAGAACTACCAGACTTTTGAAATTAAATTAGAAATTGAGGTGATTCAAAGTTGTGCTTTCAGTACCTGTATGGGGTGATCTGCACTTTCACTCCTAGTTATATATACCGTTGAGATCTCAACCGAAATCCTGGGAAACAGTTTACCAACCCTTTCCACCTTGAAATTCAGACCTTGAATTTCCATTTTATTACCTAAGACACATAGTGTTTTTGAAAACTCTCCCAACTTCTCAGCATGTGAGCTTTCTCCTCTGGAACCATGAGGTGCCATTCTAGGAAAACCATCTGTAAATGTCAGGCTCTTCTCTCTGGGTTTTCCTCCTCTTCCAGATGTTGACCCTGTAATTATTCATTGCCTTAGAGGCTCTCTAATGGCTTCCAATAGATTATTTTTTATTTGGCCCACCTATTATATTGATAGTTGCTATCAACAGGAGGATTGATGTTAACCACATAGTTTACTAGCAGAAGCAAAGTCTCTGTCATAATCTTTGACCTCTAACTAATGTTGTACAATTGAGGAACCTGATAGAAACAATAGCATTTTCCTCTAGGAATTTATGAGGATGTGTGTCCCAACCCAGTAGACCATTGGAACCATTTCTGCTGTTGCTCCTGACAAACTCAGTGGGAAACTCTGTTACATACATTGAATTCTTTGAGGTTTCTAGAACCATTAATAATAGTCACTGTGTCCAAGACTTTCTGCAAACCACCTAGCAGCTACAATAAAATCATTCATGAAGATTTCCCTGAGTACTTGAGTTTAGCATCTACAATATATTCATTCATGAAGATTTCCCTGAGTACTTGAGTATGGGAAGGGGAGAGGTACTTGTAATTCTCTATCTTTTATGTTCCACGTAGGTTATAGGCCCTACATAGACACACTCTGCTAGATGGGGAAGAGTGGTAAATCTTAGGCTGCTTTACTACCTTGTGCAAATGGGGCCTCACAGTGTTAGGGCTTTCAACTTGGATTCTCCACTGAACCTACTGTTGGGTGTTTTAGGTGTATTTGGGATGAGAAATGGCCAGAAGTAGATTGGTTGACCTTAGTAACAAGCATTTCTGTTTCTCACAATCTAGCAGGAAAATACAATTATTTGTGAATTTCTTACATATTTTCTCCCAGGGGAGAGAATAGGAAGTAAGAGTTGCTGGTGAATACTGAGTTAGGACAAGTGAATACTTAGATGAATAATCCCATACCCATGATGAGTCTGAACAGTATGTAGTTCCTCTTCTTCAGGCTTTGCGATCATTTTATTTAACTTCACAGGAAACTTCCTGACTGAAGATAATAGTAATTTGCTATTTCCATTGTCTGGAGAGTGGGCATAAGACCTTGAGCTCTGAAGGCTTCTATTAAATTACATAAGTGGCTGCAGATTTTCTGTGGGAAGAGAGTATTGGTTCTGCAAATGGGTTTCCAGTTTTCTCCCTAGATTAACCTAGTTTGAATTCTACCAACTTTAAAGCTGAGCCACTAAATGAATTATAGGAATGTTTAATCTTAGAAGTACACTGCATCCCAAAGTTTTAGTTAAAACTGTATAGAACTTCTGATGACAAGACAGGGCTATAAACTGACCTGAACTGATTGCCTTGCAGGTACGAGAGGATCGAAATTCCAATCCATATTGTACCTCACATCACCATTGGGAAAGTGTGCCTGGAGTCGGCAGTAGAGCTGCCCAAGATCCTGTGCCAAGAGGAGCAGGATGCATATAGGAGGATCCACAGGTAGAGCCCCTTTTCCCTCTTCTGTTGTGTTTCTCAGGGCTTGGTCTCTGTTTTCCCTTTCTCCCCTTTTCTTGTTAGCACATCAACTCTTGAACCCCTTTTCTTTTTACCACTCTGTGAGCGAGCTTTACAGCAGCCTCCCATCAGAATGTTTCTCATACTGTATGATAACAGTCTCTTCAACATTTGTTTCTCTTATGCTATATTTTGGATCCTTCAAGGTGAAGACATTTTCTTTTTTTGTTTGTGAAAACAAGATAAATCACAACACTATTGTGTAGACTGTTGTCAAGGCTTCTGAGAGAGAGTAGTTTCAAAATGAACTTTTGAATTATCTAAAAATTTTAAATAGGATCACATCCCGCAAATCATTAAAAATAACAATAATGAAAATTTAGATCATACAAATTCATCTCATCCATTTGGCATGGTCTGATACAGTTTATTGTTCTGTTATAGCTCATGACAATTTTGTTTTTCCTTCAGTGTTGTTTTGCTCCTAACCTAAACTATTTTATCCCTTTAGCCTTACACATCTGGACTCAGTAACCAAGATACATAATGGCTCAGGTAAGATTTTTTTTTTCCTTGAGTATAGGCAGTGATCCCTGAAATTCTCAGCTGACAGAAGCAAGTTTAGTTGAAGCAATTGAAGTGATAGGTACAAGTTATATGCAAGTTTCCTCCCTTAAGAGCTTTACTGATCTTGGTCTCAATATTGCTTTTGAGCCCTGTGGACCCTTGAATACTATAAATGCAACCTAGAATAAGACAGGAAGAAAGACAGGAAAGAACTTTATGACAGACCTACTCACAACCATTTCTCAGAGAGGACCCTGATTTGTTCTGTTTGCCAGTTTCTATGATGTAATATCCCAGGCAACTAACATGGCATCAACCAACTTTTAAACTTCCTGGAATTTTAACAACTGATTCTCATGAGCTGGTGTGAGCTGGTTCCAACATGCCACTACCAGCCTACTGTGGAGGGAGTTGAAAGAAACAGACAGACAGATAAAAGGGAAGGCGTGTGGGAAGATCTTTTCATGTCAATAAATACAGAAAAAATTCATGTACAAGTTCCACAGAGCAAAAAGTTCACTACAATTATGTACTGACTCATGTTTTTTATGTGATTGAATGTGTGTGCATGCACATGAAAGAGAGAGAGGGAGAGAAGAGAAGAGGGAGGTAGAGAGAGGTGGGAAGGAAACATCCTTGTTAGGGTCTCATCATGCTAGTCTTCTCTCCCCAACCCTCTAGCTCCTCAGGATCCCGAGTAACCATGTGTGCACTTAACGTGTTTTTCAGACTGACCTGGGATCCAAACTACAGTTACTACCACATGCCTTCCAGTACTGTAGGGTGCTAGCATTACCACTGTGCCATAGTGGCTGGGCTATATTTATTGAACCATGGTTTGAGTCCCTGACCTGGTGGCTTGCTTTCTCACTTTCCCTTTCTCTCTCTTGTCAAATTAAAAAAATAATAATTATAATAAATAAAATTAAATAAATAATTTCTAAAAAAAAAAGAAGGAGAGCTAGATCTTTATTAACACAGAAAGATGTCTATAACAGATTGTAGTGGGTGGGGAAAATAACACCCCAAAATAATAGTTTTTAATTCAGAAGCATAAACACATGCATACATATATCTGAGAAGAAATGCCTCACAGTAACACAGTGACAGTGGTCATTCCAATGACATCATGTGTTATAAGAAAAAGAGGCATTTCCAGCAGGTGGAATTTATTTTTAAAAAATGTCACAGACTTTGTCTCACTATGAAGCAGGACATTCACAGTAAGGCATGACACACCATAGATGTCTTCCTCTTATCTCTTGGTTATCCCCTCATTTTGAAAGAGGAGCTCTTACGTGAGTTGCATTAATGTCTTTATTTCTTTGCTATTGTACAACATTTGTAAGCATTTTTCCTACATGGCTCTTTGGAAAACTTAAGTTGCAGAGGCAGAGTTCTAGCTCTGTGCAGGCTGAGGTCATGTACAGAAGGTCTGAAGGTCTAGGGAAGGAGCCCTCCCATGGTTCTTCACCCTGTTGCCATCTCTATGCTCTCTGCACAGCCAGGCTTGGATCCACGGTGTTCAGAATAGCCAGTCTTACTTATACTTTCTATACTCCCTTGCCCAACTCTTTCTGTCTATGCTCATGGCTGGGAGCTGTTAGTGGTGGAGCGGGCACATGCCAATGGACAGAGCTTTGCCATTTATCTCATCCATGTTTTCTGTTGAAGTGTTTACCAAGAATCTGTGCAGTCAGATGTCAGCAGTCAGTGGGCCTCTCCTGCAGTGGTTGGAAGACAGATTGGAGCAAAACCAACAGCATTTACAGGAGTTGCAACAAGAAAAGGAAGAGCTTATACGAGAACTTTCTTCTCTAGAATAAAGTGGGAGACAACATGGGGTAAAAATACTTTTTTTCAATTTGTGTATTTAAAAATGGTCTGATGCACATAACTTAAGTGTAGGCAGACAGTGGAACAGCTGTTTTCATGTGACAGAGGGTAAGTTTTATGACTGCAATAAGCACAAGATGTCTTCCTAAAGGTTTCAATAGCTTACTGAACCCTCCTACTTATAACTGACCCACAAAGAAAATATGCAAGATGATTTGAGTAAAATACAAAGAAAAATTTTAAGGGCCATCTACACTTCCTCCTGACCTCTACCCTTTGCCCTCATTGAGAAGCATGTATCTCAAATCTTCCTTCTTAATCTCTAAAATATCTATTCTGAGAGACCTATCAAGGATTGAATCTATGTAGGTTCCCTCTTTTAGTAAACATATTTGGTTCTAGCATATTTAATTCACAAATTCCTATTGAGCAGATGCTATTTACCTAGGAATTTCCATTATAATATAGTTTTTCCAGAAACACTGAAGATTTAGGATGTAATAAAAATCATTTAGTAAGTTCAATTGCTGTTTTTGTCATGTATAACCACAAGTGATAAGTGCATCTTCAGAAAATAGGCCTAGTGCATCCTGGCAATTAAGGTTGGGAACTGGGTGAGTTAAAAAGAAAGAAAACAAAGACAGCCCCAATGTTAATATTCTTCTCATTTTCTCCCTAGATTATTGTTTTTCAAATTTCAAAGGGTAGTCCAGAGATGCCTGTATCAGAACCACTTGGAGACCAAATTGTGTCTTTGAGAGTGGAGCCCAGAAATCTACATGGCCTGCCCACCTGGTTCTAAGGCATCTCAACACTCAAAAACCATTTGCCTAGGGCATATGGAATGTAGTCTCTGTTTTTCCTAAGTGTCCACAGCCACAGTTCTTCTCTTTTTCTTTCACTATAGGAAAGATGAAAATCCAGTATAAAATTAATTAAGCTAAATCAGTTTTGAATAAGAAAATGTTGGAGGACTCACATTACCTGACTTCAAGATTTACTATAAAGCTACAGTAATCAAGATGATGTGGTATTAGCAGAAGGAAAGACACATAGGTCAATGGAACAGAAGAGAAAACCCATACATATCCCCAGCTGATTTTCACAATATGTAAAAGCAAATCAATGGAAGAAGGATAGCCTTTTCAACAAATTATACTGGGCACCCGTAGGCAAAAATAAATGAAACTTTACCTAGACCTCACACGTTATGTAAAAGTTAACTCAGAATGTATCATGGACTTAACTGTAAGATGTAAAATGATAAAACTTTTAGAAAAGAAATCATAGGAGAAAAATCTGAAGGATTTTGGACTAGGCAATAAGTTCTTGGGCTTCACCCCAAAAGCAGGATGCATAAAAGGGAAAAGATGATGTATCAGAATTCAAAGAATTAAATTTTTTTCTCTGTAAAAAAGTTAAGAAAAAGACAAGCTACTTGCAAACCATATGTCTGATCAGTCTGAAATAAAGCGTGCTTGAAACTCAACAACAACAAAAAATCTAATTAGAAAATAGGCAAAAAAATGCATATAAATCTTTCACTAAAGAAGATATATATATGGCATGTACAAACACAAGAGATGGGTATGAATGCCACATGTGGTGTGTGTGGAGGAGTGGGGCCTGGGGTAAAACATTTGGAGGAGGGATATGGACAAAGCATTGTTGAGACAGGGAGGTAGTATTGTTATATTTTGATCAACTGGACCAGGGAGAAATGTTCACATATTGAAATGATCACCTTGTAAGCTAAATAATGTGATTGAATGTATGAAAAAAATGTAAAAATAAATAAATAAATAAAATATATATTAAAAATAAAAAGAGTAAAAGTGATCATATATGGAAGGCCAAGTGGAAGCCCTCTCCTTGGCAAGGCAGTCAGACAAAAACAACATTGCATCTAGAGGAGGGGAGAAATGGTAGCGATTAGGGTCAACTCAAAAAAAAAAGAAGATACATGGATGGCAGGTAAACACATGAAAAAATGTTGAACATCATAAGTCATCAGTGTATGCAAATTAAAACCACATCAAGATCTGATGTACATGCTATTCAGAATGGCTGAAGAAGAAATAGTGAAAATACCAAATACTGTTGAGGATACAAACTGGAACTCTTATACACTGCTGATAGGTATATAAAATGGTACAGCCTCCTTGGAAAAGAGATTGAAAATATCTAATAAAATTAAGCATATGATCCAGCAGTTGTACTCCTAACTTTTATTTCAGAAAAATGAAAACATACATTGGCACTAGAACCTGTACACAAATGTTCATAGCAACTTTATTTGTAACAGCCAAAGCAGAAACAGCTCAGGTGACCTACAATGGGTAAGTGGTTAAACAAACCATCTATACCATAGTCTACTACTCTGCACCAAAAAGGGATGGACTATTGATACAAGAACATGGATAGACCTCAAGGGTATTACAGATTTAAAAAAGCCAATTTCAAGGTCACATACTGTATGGTTACATTTATATAACATTCTTGAAATGTCAAAATTATAGAAATAAAGAACAGATTAATGGTTGTCAGGTACAGGGGTTGGAGGGGATATGGGCTAGGTATGGCTCTATGTGACACAACGACTTCTTTGTACTGAAGGAACAGCTCTGTATCTTAATGGCAGTGTTGAGTAGGTGAATCTACACTTGTGTTAAATTTCCATAGACCTACACACATACAAATGAATGCATGTAAAATCTGGTAAAACTGGGAAAAAAAAAAGCCTATAGTGTGGTTAGCAGTATTATGCCACTATCGATGTTATGGTTTTGAACCTGTACTAAAGTTATGGGGAAAACCGGGTGAAGAATACATGGGACTCTGTACTATTTTGCATCTTTCTGTAAGTCTACAATTATTGCAAAATAAAAATTTATATGTTTTAAACAAAGAACTAGGAAGTATAGTATTTTATGAAATAAAAAAAATGGTGATAAAAATAAACTCTGGGGGATGGAATAAAATAATTTAAATTCTTTTTACAAACCAACTTTGAACACAAGTCCCTTTTACTTTCTGGGTCTTATTTTTTCTCTCTCTCTTTTTTATTTTAAGTTTGCTATAGGGCATGTGCACTCACTAGAGAGAGATAAGAAGAGAGAGAAATCATCTACATGGGGAATGGTCATGCCACAATCTCTTCTCCTTTAAGGATTTGAGGCACACACAAACACATCAGCCAGTATGTTTTTCATGGGATCCGGGACTCAAGATGCTCAGCTGCCCATGTGGGATCCAGCTTTATTCCAGGAACGCAAGGTTGGTTCAATATACACAAAACCATAAATGTAATATACCATATTAACAGGAAGAAAGAGAAAAATTATATGGTCATATCAATTGATGCAGAAAAAGCATTTGATAAGATACAACATCCCTTCATGATCAAGACTCTCAGCAAAATCGGCATAGAAGGGTCATTTCTCAACACAATAAAAGCTATCTATGAAAAACCCATAGCAAACATCATACTGAATGAAGAAGAGCTGAAAGCTTTTCCACAAAACAGGGACAAAGCAAGGATGCCCATTTTCTCCACTCCTTTTTAATACTGGAAGTCCTCGCCAATGCAATCAGAAAAGAGGAAAAAATAAAAGGCATTCAAATAGGAAAAGAAGAGGTGAAATTCTATTTGTAGATGAAATGATTGTATACATAGAAGACCCAATGTTTTCCATGAAAACATTTCTGGATGTAGTACATGAATACAGTAAAGTTGTAGGATACAAAATCAACATACAGAAATTTATAGCATTTCTATATACGAACAACAGGCAGACTGAGATAGACCTGAAAAAAGTTATTCCATTTACCATAGCCACAAAAATTATAAGATACTTAGGAATAAATCTAACAAAAGAAGTTAAAAACCTCCTCAAGGAAAACTATGAGAGGCTAAAAAATGATATTGAAAATGACACAAAAAAGTGGAAGGACATTCCATGTTCCTCAATTAGAAGAATATTTTAAAAAATGGCAATTCTACCCAAATTAATATATTTAATGCAATGCCAATCAAAGTACCAGACACATTCTTCATAGATCTAGAATAGACGATCATAAAATGTGTCTGGAATCATAAAAAACCCTGTATCACCAAAGAAATTATGCACAGGAAGAGTAGGAGTGGGCGGCATCTCACTCCCTGAACCAAAGTTATATTACAAAGCAGTGGTAATCAAAACAACATGGTACTGGCACAGAAACAGACAGGTGGACCAATGGAAGAGAGTCGAGTCACCAGAAATAAATTCCCAAACATAGTCAACTGATTTTTGACAAGGGGTACCATTTGCTGAAAAGGGAAACCTCTTCAGCAAATGGTGCTGGAAAAACTGGAAAGATGTATCTGAACCCCTACCTCTCACCTTTGACAAAAATCAAGTCCAGGTGGATCAAAGATCTAAACCTAAGACCTCGAAGTATAAAACTGCTCCTGGAAAACACTGGGGAAACTGGGATTCATTGTGGTAGGCAAAGACTTCTTAAATAAAACTCCCAAAGTGCAGTTGATAATTTTCAAATTAGACAAGTGGATTATATCAGACTAAGAAGTTTTTGCATGGCAAAAGACATAGTAATTAATGTGAATCGACAGCCCTCAGAATGGGAAAATATTTTTGTAAATT